GAAGATCCACCAACAAGAACATACAAAGTGACACACAAAGGAGTTATTAAGTTTGGTTTGGGGTTGGGTTTTTTTTTAAGAGGGAAAAAATTCCATATCTCCGTTTAAAAGTGAAAGGCAAGCCAGGCAGATTCCCTGCACTCACTGGGTGTGGAAAAGCTGCCACCAAAAAGTTTTTTGGGCAGATCAGAGGCAGGAAGCTTTGCCAGGGGAGCAGTGGGGCTGATAGGTCATCAAGGAATCGCAGGAGCAGGAGAGGGAGATAAGGCTGTGGCAGGGGAGTGGGACGAGCTGGCACTGCTGTTCTCTGGGAACGGCTCCCGGCTGGAGGAGGGACATTTTAGGGAACAATCTCACACTGGAGAGCCCAGAGCTGGCAGGAGGGAGGGGCACTGACTCTGGGGACCCTTTCCCACAGGGAGAGCCCTTGATCTGGGGTCTGGTCCACGTGGAGCTCCTTCAGTTTTCCCATCCTCTCCTCCCGCAGAGCTCGACATCTGCACCTGACCTGTCCTGTGTCCTCTGAGGAGACGCAGGCAAAGCACCCAATGATTCCCAACCAGGCCCAGACCTGCTGCCTCTTCATCAGAGGGGGCACCTGGGGAGCAACTGCTGCTCCAGGAGTTCCTCAGTGATATTCCCAGGGGTAGTACATCCATAAAAGAAAGATTGTATTCCACTCTGGAGCTTCCCTTGTCCTCCCAGGCTGCCTACCTGTGCTTGGGATGAATTACAGAAGATCCAGGCAATGCCAGTTGCTCTCCAGAAGTTTCCTACTCTTTCAAAATGAGCTAAATCCCAAATTAGAATGATTTCAGTAGAGCAAAGCTTAGAAGACAATTGCTGTAATTATGCAAATTTAAACAAGTGAAAAGCCTTAACACAATGTATACAAAATAATGATTGGAAGGAATTAGCCTTGGGAATTAGCAGAAATTGGGCATTTGTATTGTAATAACAGGGCTGGAAGCTGATGATCCAGAGAGAAAGAGTTTTGCCAGTCGATATTAAAGCTTAGATAATCTTTTGTTCAGCAACTTCCCCCTCCTATTTGTTTAGGATTGCAGCCTGTGCCTGGATCACTGCATTGGAATTCCAATCACTCACCACTTCTTAATTAGACAATATAACTGATACTGTAATTGTGGCAGGAATTGATTATTAATCAAAGTTTTTATGATAATTAACAACAAAGTTCTTGAACAGAACATAAATAAAATAAAATAACATAAGGCTTCCCAAACTGGCACCATCACACTGTGGTGGTGACCCCGAGTTTTAATTGTCCATATGCATTTAAATCCAGGCCAGTGTTGGGAATCTTTATCAGTAGCTGCCAATAAAAGAAAATTCATTTGGTTACCAAGGCTTTTTTCCAGGCTGAGGGTGTCAGGTGATCTGCCAAAGCAGTCTCTGTTCTGCAGGGCCAATAATTGATCAGAGTTGTCTTGTGCTTTTTAACGCTCTATTTCTGCTCTGCTTTTATGACTCCAACCAGGAACACGATCCACAGGATCCCGTAAGTGCTCCTGGGCTGGGTGTCCACTTTGGAGCTCTGGTGTAAAGCACACATTATTCTACTGTACTGGATATATATGTCTGTGATGTTCCACTGCAGTCATTGTAGGAGAAGCACTATCCCAGAAATCTTTCAGGATAGATTTTGGAATGACCATAATCCTTCCAGAAATGCAACATCCTTCCTCCAGCTGTAGCTGAAAGCCCCACCATGATTCCCATCCAATTCCTCTTCCTGCGGGTTAACTGTATTTCTACAATTTTTTTTTGCACTAGTGCCTGCTATTGTCTCATGAAATGATTCTTCCATTTGTGTAAGAAATGTCTCAACTCTTCCTAAAAAGAAGGTTCTTTTTTCCATGGTGGAGTCTGGTTAAACACAGGGGGGACTTCATTTGCTTTGGAACTAAATCAAAATATCAGAATCCTTCCAGAAATGCAATGTCCTTGCTCCAGCTGTAGCTGAAACCAAGGGGAAGTGTAATTTCCCTAAGATTTACCTGTAATTTGAGTTTACATTTTGAAAAGGTGAGACAGGAGGCACCAACCCAGGCAGGTTTGTTTGGGACTGGAAATCACTTTATCAAACAGAGGGGGTCTGAGGTTCCTGTCTTGAGGTCCTGCTTTGATCATTAGTGACTGTCCAATGTATTCCATCATTCTTTCCCCTTTATTTTTATATACAGCTCAGTCTGGGGGGGAAAAGGCAAGAGAAAAGCTCCTATGGTCCTAAATTCTTTCTTCTCATCCCTGATAAATCCATGGCTGGCTGGGAATGTTCTCCCTCTTATTCTTGTGTTCTCCCTTGTTCTGTGGGGAACACCCAGGAGTGGCTGCTGGCCACTGGCTTTGCTGTGCTTTGCAGGAAGAGGCTTTTCCTTGGATTTCTGAAATATTAAAATGAGATGTGTCACTCCAGAGGTTGAAGGCAATGGCAGGAAGAAAAACAGGAGGAGTCCCTGGGCTTGAGGGTCTACAGAGCTGCAACCATCCTTCCTTCTTCAAAGGCAGGGCCTGGGAATATTGGCCACTGTTGGAGCTGGACTCTATGTGGGATATTCTCTCATTCCATAATCTGGCAGAGAAGGATTTAAGAAAAACTAATTCATTTGTAGCTGCATGAGAAGTCAGTGCCAGCTTTGGTAACTGTTGGAAAGGAACACTGGATGCTCCATCATTCTGAGGAACAAGTCATGCTGCTCTCCCAGAACCTCAGGCATGTGCCAACAGTCTCCAAGTTCTCAGAAAAGCCCAGAATGTCCCAAATCTAAAATTCTCTCCAGCAATGAATTTAGAAAATCATTTCTAGCTGCTATTATTATTCGTTAACAAGTGATTTTTATTAAAGGCTTGAGGAGCAACTCTTTCCCTCCTCCTATCTGTACAAACAGCCATAAACTGAGTGCATTTTAATAACCTTTTTTCCAAGAAGTTACAAGCTATTTCATTAAAATGTCAACTTTTTCTTTCATATATTTTATGATTCTCTTTCTTCCTTCTGCCACAAATATGTTGTTGCCAACATCATCATGACACAGTTTGCTGCCAAGACTATGGGAAGTTAAAAAAGGAAAGAAAAAATGAATTTCTCTCCACTTTTTAGGTAAGATTCTTCCAGCACTAGAGGCTGAGAAAGCAGTCAGAAATATCTGAGGTGCCAAAGACAAATGTTAAGGGTGCCAAAGCGGTGACATGAAAACATGGAAGCAGTACCAGGGGATCCATTCTGTGGGATAAGGGAGCAGTGTGGACATTTCCTCTTGTTGTTTGTAGATTCCTCATAGTTCCTAACAATGTTTCTGTGAAGATTGGAGCAGCAGGAGTGTGCACACACTGGATTTGAGGGATTCAGCACAGCAAGTCAACTCCTGTTTGCAGGAGACGACGTGTCTGTCCCACCAAACCATCTCCAACTGCTGCATGAAATCCTTTGTGTCCTCCTGCATCCCCCCAAAGGCCTTTCCCTTCAAATATATCAACTTGCTGTCACTCAGAAGGTCCCCAAACCCAGCTCCAGCCAGGTGCCAAGCCATCTGCTCCTGGCTGGTTTAATAAGGAAGGAGCCACTTTACCTCCTCAGTCTGGGAGTGGGGGGAAGGAATGGAAGCCCCTCAGTTGTGCCTCTGGGAATAACCAGGAGATGTGACTGTGTTTCCTACTCAGGTGCCTTCACACCTCCCTAATTAAACCCAGCCTGGCTTTGCACAGGGAGTATCCCTGCAAAGGCCCTCATTTTCAGCCCTTCAGCATCACGGATCCTCCCTGGAATTTCGTTATTACCTTTGCTGTCCCGGCTTCGGAGTTGCCGAGTGCAGACATTAAATGAGCTTTGTGCCCAGGATTTCTGCACTCCTGCCTTTGCAAATCTCCATTTCTGTGCATGGAGGGTCCTTGCTGGCAGCAGGGATTCCAAATACCTAATTAGAGTTTGAAAAACTTTCAGATTCCCCGGTGATATCCCAAGTGTAATTTCCTGCTTGGCTGGAGAGCCAGGGATTAATGCTATTTCCACTGGTGGTAAACCAGTTGTGGGTTCCGATTTCCCAGCACTGCCCATGGCACTGTGGAGCTTTGGGTTCAGCTGGTTGAACTTTGCTGTTCTTTTGGAACATAAAATTCTTGGAATTTTCTCTGCTTAGGTGTTGCCCTCACCCCAGAGATGTTTTTCTTTTAGGAGGGATTTAATTTCTTTTTCTCTGCCTTATAGGCCAAAGCTTGATTGTTTTTTGTGCACTCCTGGGTCTTCAAGCAATTTTACAGGGGAGGCAAAGAGTTGCTGAATGCAGCTGTTTTGTTTACATTATGTAAAGTTGGGAATGTGCCATGGGAGCAATCCCACGCATCCCACGGAGCGTTGCAGGCACTCAGGGGTGTGGACACATCAGATAAAAGGAGGTGGAGTCTGTAGCTAAGGTCTAGAACTTGCCCAAACGAGTTAATTACACGTGCTGTGTCCCACTTTCCCAATACAGAAACATTGGTAATTAACAAAAAGAAAAAAAAAATAGTGTGTAATTTAGTGTTGGCCTCGGGCTGTTCCGTGAAATTCCTGGCTCTGGGACCCGGGCACTGCCTCAGCCACTCTTGCAGTGTGTGATGCAAGTGGCACAGAGCACCATGACCTGGCATTTGCTTACACCTACTGCTCTATTTTAGGCTCTCGTCTCATGGAATTAATACTGGTAAATGTTACTGGTATCTTGTGGAAATACAATGGATTGAGCCACGGCCCACGTGCTCCTGATGAGGAAAATGCTGTGGATGTGTCTGCCTGGACTTCAGTGAAGCCTTTCACACCATCTCCTGTGGCATTCTCCTGGAAAAGCTGGAGCCCACACCTTGGGCAGGGGCACCTTGGCTGGATTGGGAACTGGCTGATGGCCGGGCCCAGAGGAGTGGGAATGGGGCTGCATCCGGGTGGTGTCCAGTCACCACTTTGTTGGTGATGTGGATTTACTGGCACCCTCAGTAAATTCATGGAGTTGGGTGGGAATGTTGGTCTGCTAGAGGGTAGGAAGGCTCTGCAGAGAGATTTGGACAGGCTGGATCCATGGAATGAGGCCAGTGGTGTGAGGGACAACAAGGTCCTGCTCTCGGGTCACAACAACCCCCTGCAGCTCCAGCCTGGGGCAGAGGGGCTGGAAAGCTGGGAAAGGCCCTGGGGGTGCTGGTGAGAGAGGCTGGACACGATCCCAGGTGTGCCCAGGTGGGCCAGAGGCCAATGGCCCCAGAACTGCCCCCAGCCCTGGTGTGTCACAGCCCCAGGGCAGTGACATCCCCTGTGCTGGCACTGCTGGGGCACCTCCAGGGCTGGGGCAGTTCTGGGATCTCAGACAAGACACAGAGGGGCTGGAGCGTGTGCAGGGAAGGGAACGGAGCTGGGGAAGGGGCTGGAGCACCAGGAGGGGCTGAGGGAGCTGGGGGGGCTCAGCCTGGAGCAAAGGAGGCTCAGGGGGGACCTTCTGGCTCTGCAACCCCCTGACAGGAGGGGGGAGCCGGGGGGGGTCGAGCTCTGCTCCCAGGGAACAAGGGGCAGGAGGAGAGGGAACAGCCTCAGGCTGTGCCAGGGGAGGGTCAGGTTGAACATGAGGAGGAATTTCTCCCTGGAAAGGGTGGTCAGGCCTTGGCAGGGGCTGCCCAAGGAGGTTTGGAGTGCCCAGCCCTGGAGGTGCCAAAGGAAGGCCTGGATGTGGCACTCAGTGCTCTGGGCTGGGGGGCAAAGGGGGGCATCGGGCACAGGGGGAACTCTGTGACCTTGGAGGGCTTTTCCAACCTCAGTGATTCTGTGATTCTATGGAATAGACTTGGAGTCCTGTGAGTAATATGTAGGACATTAATTCCTGGTATTACCTCCTGGAATGTATTACAATTGTGAACTCCATATTGCATCTAAAAATCCATATTCCCAGACTTTGATTTCTGTCCCCAACAGCCTCCACGTAGAGGAGTATTTTCTACATCACGTGCAGCTGGAGTCAAGGACTCTCCCATATATGTGAGACCATCAGATTTCCCTGGTGGAATATTTCCAGGAAATAATCTCCATGCAGCCATCTTTGCTTAAATATCTCATAAAGTTATACCCTCATCCCAAAATAATGCCCGTTCCTCCCATCTCCTCCTGAAAATTGAATGTATTGCTCTGTTTAGCAAAGTATATAAACAATAAGGGACAAAACCCTCCCGTAGATGTCTCCATATTATGGAATATTTTACTCTTTACATCCCACATTCCACATATAAGAGGAAATTTAATGCTTTTGAAGCAGTTGGAGCTGTGAAATAGAGCAAAAAAGAAGCGGATTGGCAGATGTTTTATTGCACAGTGAAGCCAGGAAGTTGTTTAGACTGTCTTTGAACGTGGCCAATACACTGGGATACATCTCTTGGTCAGAAAAGGGAGATATTTAAAGATCTGTCAGGTCAAGCACACATTTTATGACATCAAATATTTAGTATTATCTAACTAAACAAAAAATCATATGTAAGGGGACAAGGTTAAAACTCGACTTTATGGCTGATCTCTTGTGCTATTAAAAGATAACGTTTTTGGGAGATAAAGGGAGATATTTTTTAGCACAAAAGGAACTTGCAGGCTGCAGATTCTGTCTAACCCTGCTTCTTGTAGCACTGAGATTGGGGTTTCTACTACATGCAATTAATTCAGCTTTAAAAACAAGGAAAATATTTGTGTTTTTTTGCTTTTGTGTTTGTTTTTTTTTTTTTTAAACTTGTAGATGCAGCTTTTTTTGTCTGTAAAAGACCTTGAGAATAACCACGTTATTCAGGCCATTTCAAAGGTTCAAATGGATGAATGTTTTTCTGATAGTTGGATTAAATGATCTAAAAGGTCTTTTCCAATCAAAATAATTCCATGATTCAGCCCACAAATCCGCCTTTCTCTGTGCCAGCAAAATGCTGTGTCTGCTTTGAGATTCTCCCTGTCTTTCCCTTCTTTGCCCACAAAAGTCTCTGAAACAAAAGAGGATTTAATATGATGTGAAACCTTATGTGGAACAGGTGAAATGATTCATCCCTTGGCAGAACAGCAGCTCAACTTGGATCCAGTGGTTGTGTTCAGTAGATTAATTAAATTTGGGTCTGAACCTCCGAATGCGGAGTCAGCAGAAATTTCCGAGCCCTGGGAGGCAACACATTCCAGTTTTGTGTCAATATAATCCATCTCCATTCTCAGATGTAGAAAGAAAGTGGCATTCAGATTTTGATATCGTGAAAATTCATTTTTAAATGTGCAAGTCTGCCTTAGCAGAACAGAAAAAAAGCCACCCCAAAAATATCAATCCGGCACAATTAACCCTCTTTTTCCTCTCAAACAATGAATTTTTGTGGACCAGTGCAGCTGCTCCAGCAGCCACCCAGAAAATCATCTCCTGCTCAGACAGAAATGCAGAACTAAAAGCCATATTTTTGGATTGTTAAGTGTCACTTCAGTGAAATGTGCTCGTGGTTGAATAGCTCCCGTTTATTTTCTAGGGATGGGTAAAAATGAGGAAATTGTGACAATTCTTGAATATTACCAATTGCTTTTCCTCCTGTTGTTCTTGCTGAATGGGGAGAATGACTTTACATTTGGGTATTTAAAGGGAAAATATTCCAAACATTTGGTTTTGCTGCTACTTCACCTGTTCTTCTCCTTTTTTATTTTTTTGGGGCTGAAAAGAGGAGAAAATTCAGGGAACGAGGACCTGAGGGAAAGCAGAGGGAGAAAAAGAAAACAAGAGGGAAGGGTTACGATGGATACTGGGGAGAAATTCCAGGTTGTGAGGGTGGTTTGGATGGAATGGAATTCCCAGATGAGTTGTTGCTGCCCCTGGATCCCTGGAAGTGTCCAAGGGCAGGTTGGACAGGGCTTGGAGCAACCTGGACTAGTGGAAGGTGTCCCTGCCCATGGCAGGGGGTGGCACTGGATGGGCTCTAAGGTCCCTTCCAACCCAAACCATTTTAGGATTCTTTGAAAGAGTAAAAGGCATAAATGAGGTATTTATGTGAGGCTTCACTGGAGTGAAAGGGAAGGGAAAATAAAAAAGCATAAATAATTAATGAATCTCCCCCAAATGTGTTTAAAAACACCAACAACTGACCAGATAAGGAGGGAAGAGCTGCCTTGTTTCAGTCCTCGTTTCAAAGCAGCGGTAGAAACCCCAGGACACAACAGCCTGATGGGGCTTTTTGGGATTTAAAAATAGCTTAGGAGAAGAGCCATTGAAATGGATTATGAACTGACTTGTGGAGATGAAACCCGGGGTGTGAGTGAAAGAGAAAGCTCGGAGTGAAGAAGGGAAACAAGTGGGGTCAGTGCCGTGGGCCTTTCTCCTGCTCAATCCTCCATATATACGACCTTGGTGAAGGTGAAGTTTCCAAATGAGTTTGCTCAGTTCTTGATCCCACCAGGCTGGAGAGGAGCAGCCAAAAACAGCCAGGCAGGGAAGGGAGTTGAAGTTAATTATAAAGATGAGCAAGATATTCGTGTCATTGAGCATATGGCACCATGGGTTTGAACTGTGGAGATGAAAAACTTTCTGCAGAGGGTAGCAGGGAATTCCTGGTCATGTTAAACCCTGTTCTGAGCTCAGAGTCGAGAGCTGACAGTCAGATGTGTGGATGTGCTGTTCTGACAGGCCTCCGTCCCCCGAGCACCAGAGGAGTTCTGAAGGAAAAGCTGAACTTCAAAGAGTTTCATAAAAAAAAAAAAAAAGCCATTTGGAAAACCGAAGCAAAGGGGGGGTGGCGAGATTTTCTGATTCCTTTTTAGGGTTTGAGAGTGTGCCTTTGACTATCTGGCAGCAAGAAAATGTTCAGTGGCTTCAGGGTGTGATGGTGCTCTTTAAAGGGAAGCACTGTGTGATCACAAGGATGGACTTCATCCAGCAGATCGTTGAGAACTTCTGTGACATGGACAAGATCCCGAAAGTTTGGCTGCCTTTTCAAAGTCACTGAAACTTCTCAGGGCGGCCAGGAGGGGCTGAGCTTTTCCTAAGATGTGTTTTCTCAAGATGTTTACAGAGCTGTCACCCAAAAATGGATCTAGACCCAAACACTGTCTGAAGCTCAGGCTCAGGACCAAGCCTGAGCTCTGTCTTTCTTCTTGCTTCTGGTCATTGAACGTGAGGGACACTCAGGTATTTCACTGCCCTGGGTTAGTCCTGGTGCCAGAGACAGGCAAGAAATGTGTGTGGTGAAAACTAACTGAACTTTTTTTCAGCCACTGAAATGGTTTCAGCTTTGGCACATGTTGTCCAGCCCCATTTGTACATCTCTAATGCAATGTAAATAGCTTTAAGCAGCTGCTTTGTGAAATATGTGATGTTTGGAGAAAGGTATGTGTAGACCGGCTTCCAAAATCAATATATAAACCCTTGCTATTGCATCCCAAAGTTCATTTCTGTTTTGACACATCTTCAAAGTAAGATATAGAGTCCATTACTTCACATGCTTTTTACATTTAAGAACAGCAATTTATGTATTGATGAAAACGTGCAAGTCATAATCTGTATGGATGCCTTTTGGAACTCATTTATCAGAAACCTCAGGATTTATTTGCTTGTTTGATTTAGTAAAGAGTCTGTAGGTTTTCATGTTTTTTGGACAAACTGAGTTGCTGAACAAACTCTTTGGTGGCCTGGCTCTGGAATGAGGGACTAAAACTGCCCAGAGCCCCTTGTGCCTGAAGTCTGGGAATAACTGTAGAAATGGCTCTTTATTTAAGTTGTCAGAGTTTTTTTTTTTTAATTTAACTTTAATTTAAATGACTTTTAATCTAATGGCTTTTTAAAAAAAAAATTTAACTTTTTAGCGGTTCTCACAGACACAAGAGAGAAAATAGAAACTATGTCAGCCCGCTCTGCAGAATGATGTGTTACCTAAATCTGCTCATCAGGGTGGTTTTAAAGTATTTACACCTAAACTCACAGGTTTTTTTTTCCAAACCTGTGAAACTATTACTCAAAGCAGAGAGGTTGTGATGCTTTTTTATTTCAATACAATAAATCAGAGTCACCTCTTAGCGCGTGTTCTGAAAGCTGGGTTAAGGTTGTAGAGGGGCTGTGTTGATAGAAAAGGTGAAATG